ATCTCTACCCTGACTGGTTTCTTATGCAGCTACATAAACAGCAGTAGGAGCTCAACTGAGGGATAACACAGGGATGGGAGCAAGCGCTATTACTAAAAGGAAAAAAAAAAATCACTCAAACTACACAGAAATATTCTCTTTAGAGATCCTTTCCCATTTTACTCTGAATATAGCAGCCTTTGTTTGTATTTACTATCTAAAACAAATTTGATATTAGATTGTAATAGGTTACCAAGTACCTCCATGGAGTTTCAGATCCCTGGAATTTGCTTTTTTCACTAACTGAAATGAGCCATTCTGCATCTAATGCTGCAGGATGTAAGCACTGGCTCTTGCTGCTGTAAAAAAAAAAAGAGACTTTGAAAAACTATTTGAAGTGGCACAACTGCTGTCACATCTGACTCAGGCTGCAGATTGCTGCATGCCACCACAAGCTGCCTTCATCCATTTTTACGGATTTTACTTTTGATATTTGGAACATCACAAGACCTCACAGTGATATCCTGATCAGTTGAGTAAGAGTTACTCAAGCGCATATACACAAAAAGCCAGTAAACTCAGCCATACTATGCCATAAACAGTTCGGCCAGGAGCCCCAGGCAAGGGGAGCAAAGAGAAGTGCTCCTTCCTCCAGCCACCGGCAACGCTGAAGCTGTGGTTTAGTTACAGGGCAGAAATTCTTACTAGATGGTTAAGCTCAAGCCCGTTGTGTGAAACGATTAAGTGAAAGTAGCTTAGAACAGCATTCACCGGCTAGAGAAGCTGGAGACTGTACTTCATCACAGTACTAGATCTAAAGTTTTGCATGTTTTAGATATGACCGTAACTTGGATTAAAAGTAAGGTGGGTGGAGTTAAAAATGTGTTTTATGGAGTGTCTTTATCACTTGCACTGGAGAGGCAACATTTGCTACATAACACACCCTCAGTGACATCAGTAGCACTTTAAGAAAGTCTTACAATAGCATGAGACTCATTACAAAAGAGGTGCAATTATGCCAGATTTCAAACTTTCTACGAACAGTCAGATCAGCTCAATTTTACTCAGCTATATAAACCACACCCCTCAGTATGGTATCTGACCCTCCGCTAGTACAACATGCGGCAGCAGTCTGAATGGCTGTCGTATTTTCTAGAAGCGTTGCAGAAAAGTCGTAGGCAGGGAATTTCCTTTTTCCTTTCAAATTCATCTTCTCTAATTGGCCTTGTACAAATGGCAATGACAAATATTCATTCTCTCACTGAAGTTGCTAAGATGTCAATGTTTGCTGTTTTTAAAAATTCACTAGGACTTAGGATGTCATTGCTTGAATAAAGAACTTGACACATTACATGAAAAGTATCATTACTCTAGACTCAGTTTGTTAAGGTAATTAAGCCAAGTGAAAACCTAAAGTTATAAGCATACATTAATAATTTCCTACCTTCACAAAGGTATTTTTACAGGTTTGAGACCTGTGATATAACAGCAGCACTGTCCATACTAGTAACAAATGGGAAATGCAGCAATCCTACACACTCACAGGTCTCCTTTCACACAAAACGTTCTTAAAATTCAATTGGAAACACTATTTCATGGATTCACGAATACACTGTAGATTTGTCCCACCAGTCACCACAACAAGCATCCAAGTGCAGACATTCATTTTTGGCCAGATAAATTTCTGCAAAGCCACAATTTTGTAGGTTCTCATTCTATTTCAGAAACACAGGCAAGCTCCACTGATTAAACTGCCAGAAGGGAGTTTTTTTTTTTTTTTAATTGCAGAAGCTAATCTTTTAGAACAATTCTGCAAAAGATATAAATATATATATATAATTCCTCAGCTAAATCTGTCTTTGTCTGTGATGACGGTATTTTTAGGGGGGGCGGGGGGGAGGATAGTCAGGCTAGCAAATTCTTTAAGCACAGAAGTTGCATCTAATCCCCCTTTTCCCATTCCAGATGGGAAAAAACAGGGTACAAATTCAAGAAACTAATTCAGTTTGACAAATTCTTAAAACATCAATTTAAAGAGGAAAAATATCTGTGGCTGTTAGCCCCAAACACTTTAGGAAAGACACGAGTAGTCTGTAAACTCAGAACTTAGATCCGACTTCCGATATTCACAAGGGAAATCTGCACAACTCTTTCAGACAGTCATGCCAACCTTTTGCATATCAGCTCCCTATAGTTAGGTTTTTCATTGCATATTTAAGCATCTAAAAGTTTATTGAAAGGTACTTGATCGGCTCTTAATTATTTCAGCTGCAGATATTAGCTACTCAGCACTCCTTGAAACCAGGTCTTTAATTAAGAACATGTAAAGCCATTGGTGCAAATTTACAAGTTTCTATTTAAGAAACAAAAATCAGATAAAAATATCACCAGCAACTTTGTTTCAATTTCATTACAGCAATTTCTGAGTCACTGGTGGGGGAGGGAGGAGGAAAGGGGGAAATGGATCAATCACAACAATAAGATCAAATTTAGCCATTAAAAAAAAAAAATCCAATTTCTGCACTATAAGCCAATTACCTTGTAAAACAAAAAGAAAACAACCCCCCAAAACAGTGAACACCACCACTTCAGTCAAGAACAAAACCTACCATTAAAATGTCACCAAAAAGCTAAAATTTTAACAAACAAATCAGAACAGAAACAGTTTGAGAAGTGTTTATATAAATGCTAAATCTTAATGGCTGGTCTATGAAACTTAATTTTTCCTGTATGCAGTGGATATAAATTGCACTGGTTTTATGATAACTTCTATCATAAGTTCGATTATCTACCCTGTAAAAAAAAAAAAAAAAAAAAGACACCTCAGATAGCCATCTTTTGTTCTATGTTTTTACTCTAAGGAAACCATATACTAAGATGATCTGGATTTCAACAATTTTTACATAGTCTTCTATTAAATAAGTAC